GCAATGAGGATTGCCTCGGCTGCGCGAGAAAACTCGTCAGAGACAAGCTTGTCTGGTGGTCCACCATGCTGGTTTGATGAGGTGGATCCTGGAGTCCAGTCGGAGAAGCCGTGAGCAAGCGTTCCCAGTGCCATGACAATATGATGGATTTGCAAGGTCGCCTGTGCGTCGCCCCCCTTCGCTCGAGGAAGGTGGACCTCCATATCCTGAAATAGAGGATCCATTACTGATCGGGCATACAGTGCCTGGTTTTCGGCGGGTGTGCTATGCGTAGAAGAGATGCACCCAATAGCCTCAAAGAGGTAGAGTTGACTAGTGAAAAGAGCATCTGCCGAGTGATCGGACTCGTCCGACGACATGTCATCATCAGCATCCTCTCCAGGCACTTCGGCCTTGATGGGCAGTAAGTCTCCAATCGACTGTATGACAGTTTCGGCAACGTTTCCTACGCGAGATCGAAGCTGCTTGATGAATCTGTGGAAGAGGTACCACGACCGAGTCTTGATGCGCACATGGTTGTGGTGGACTAGACGCACGAAATTTTCCAAGACTTGGGGGATATACTGGGAATGGGTCTCAAAAACGGCACAGTATCGAACGCAGATTTCCATATATTGGAGAAGAATTGCAGGATGTGAGAAATTTGCGATTCCTGTAGTCAACTTGTTAGCTATATGCCCAGAGAGGTACAGGGAATAGAGCGCCTTGATACTGCTTCTCCGATAGCAAACTTACCAGATTCGACCATTTTCTGCATCATGACCACCAGTCGCTCTGAGGCTGCAGAAGAAGGTTGGTTCTTGGTGCCGAGTCCCTGATTTGGCAACGCAAGCTCTCCAAAAAGATACATTTCGTGCAGGGCAAGGTCGAGGTCCCGCCAATCCATATGCGATCCCGCTTGGTCCAACGTCTGGAAAGTAGTCGCCACCAGATTACTTAGTACGTCCATATACAGGTTCTGGTCAATGGCGGCGATGGTCTTCTGGAGATACTGCAGACGCCTCCTCAGTTCTTGAAACTCTGCCTCATCTGTTTGCTCGTCCTCATTTCCCCATGATGTTGTCTCATCATATCTCATTTTTCGAATGATAGCGTTGAGTATCGGCGAGAGCATGGTGGAATATTCTTGGTTGAGTTGGCCCAATTTTCGGAGGAAAGTAAGAAGATCGGTCAATGACGGGATGACAGTCGAACACACTTCGTCATATTCGTCGGAGAAGAATCGCAAAAGGAGTGGGAGAAAGCCGTCCAGGTGTTGCTTGGCGCGCGTCCGTGTTTCGTCACTAGCATTATTATCGTCAAGAGCTCTGATGACATCCGCCACTGTGGTATTTACGAGCTTGGCAATGGCCTCGGCGAGATCTGTATCGTATTGCGGGGTGCCCTTTAAGTCGTTGAGCATAGGGCTGGCAACCAGCTGGCTCACAATGTCCTGCAGGTTGAGGAACGAGATCATTTCCATCTTGTCCGCCGACCGCATTTTCTTTCCGCAAATCTCGGTGAGGGTATCGATGGCAGTATCTCGCACCTTGTCCTCGCTGCCAGTTCGCCCAACGACGGGCAACAGCAGGTTAAGCATGTCCTGACTGACGACAAGCGAAATGTCCATCCAGCTAACCCACTTGCCGAGAACCTTCAAGACCAGATCAATAACGACGTCGTTTCCGCTGTATCTGGAAAGCAACTGCTTCCATGACTCGGCGACTTTCTGCATGTCCTGGGCTCGCAGTTGGTCTTTGAGTTCCGTATTTCGCTTCGAATCGCCGCTCTCTCTTGACAAAAGCATATCTGCAATCTCATCGTGCACTGATGATAGGACCCTCAGGTAGAAGAGAACACCAGCCACATTGTCGACGTTCTGATGTAGCCCAGTCAAGTCGAGGAAATCGTCAACGAAGCTCTGCCAGCCGTCGCGGTAAAGGAAGACGAAAAGATAGGTCAAAGTCTGCGTAAGCTTGTTCTGAAGGTGTGCAGGGTCGGGATCCTGCTGAGCACCAGCGCCATATGCCTGGCGTACATACTGCAGCAAGGTATGTTTGAGAAAGGCTAGGCTCTCTCCATCAAGACCCTGTGTATGAACCGCAAAATTGACCACCTCAAGACACACCATGCGCACGACCTCAGACGTTCGGGGGATTCGAGAAAATAGATTCGTGCATGCCTGCCATCCTTGCGGGTCGCTCCTCAGCTGGTTCAAATATTCAAATGCTTGCTCTTTCACCGACGGATCGGAAGCGGGATTCGACAGAATCTCGACGGCATTCTCGACCTGGAGATCACAACCGTTAGCTCTATGCCAAAATTCAGGCAGCAAGGAAGAAACATGTCAGGTGCCAGAAAACAGATGCTCGCTAGAGAAACATAATCATGTGGTGTTTCTGTCATCTACTTGTTTTTTTTTCTTCCATGATGGCCTCAACGAAGAAAAATGGCCGATGGCGGGGCACCGCAGCAAAAAAGAGCAACAAGGCAGCAGCTGGGGGGTCTCGTGGCTACGAGACATGCAAACTGACGTACCTGACTCTCCATACTCGAAAAAAGATTTTATATCACAAAGAAAAACACCAGTGTATGCTAAAAAGGGATGCTGCTATAACTCTGGCAGCCTTGTGAATGCAGCATCCGCATGCTTATAACTATTAGGCGGCGACGAGGCTACCGCAAAGGCATGCCTAGGTCGGAAGGTTGTCGTTTTTTCCTCCTGCTGCTGCCGTGGAAAAACTCGACCGAGGGAGGCAAGTCACGAGGCTCGGTTGGTACTGAAGGAGTTGGAAGGTAGAGGAGAACCACAGCAGCCAAGGTCAGCTTCCACTCGTCGCTCAGACACAAAATGTGCGTCTTTATTCGCTATTTCAAAAGTCGGTGCAAGCTGTGGGGTGGTACATTTGGAAGAAGTTTGAAGCGGATGATTTTCGGGCAAAAATCCAGCGCTGTGGGCACGGACACCGCACTGTACTGGTCCGTACTGATCTCGGAGTTTTTCGGTGGAAAGTGCACAGTGCGGGCGATACGAGCTCATTCGGTTATCATAGGTGCCGTATGAGGCTGCGATAGTACAAGCTTCATCCAACCTTTGAAATGTGCATGGTTGATATACCCAGACGAAGCTCTTGTAGCCCCAACATTTCAGATTGCGCTACGTTCGCTGGCAAATGCTTATTACCAGCTTGGCTTACGAAATTCAAAAATAGATTCAAGTCGTACTATAGTCAATGGCATAGTAAAGTCCCTTTTCTTCTGCTCACGTGAAGCTTGCGAAGTTAGCATCCATGCCATTCTATACGGTAAAGCCCAATGAGCACAGGCAGCGCAGCCCAAGGGGCGGGTGATGTTATCGGCGAATCCAGGAAGAGTTTATATCAGTCTGAAAGGGGGTGGCGATCGAAAACACTTTTGCCACGGGCGTATACAGCGAGGTGCATGGTACCGTAGATGGGTTGTTGATGGGCAGACTAGGCAAATCAGAAACCAGATACCCAACTTAGGAGGCACCAGGTGGGCATTATATACGTCTTATAAGCAACGGGGGCTCCGCCTTGTCATTGTTGCATGGATAATTGATCAACAGGAGTCTTGGCCTTTTGTCTCCGGTACGCGTAAAACAGCACGGATCAAACCGTGTGACGTAGTTCCATTGCTGACGCAAGCTGATATCCGGTGTCGTCGAATTCCGTATAATCATACCCTATACCGTGATTGCAATTTATCTGTCGGTTTCGTACATCCTGGGTGCGAAGAAGGAGATATTCAGACAATAGTCTTAGACTTTCTACAGAACACTGTTTAGGGCATGAATAGCCATGGGCTTCTGTGAGCACAATGGGTGAGACGTTGGTGGCAGATCAATGTTTGACGTTAATCTACCAGCATTTGATAATGAGGGCGAGCATGCCGCCCTCGCGATACACATTTCCAGATTGGAGCAGATTGTTTCTCCGAGAGAGTCTAGCATCACACCCTAGAGATACTGAATCTGGCGACTTCTACTCATGAATGATAGGACTCGATATCATATGGACCCAATGCTATACAGACCAAACCCGGTGATTTCTGAGCTGAGTTGAAAGGGCTGAGCATAACCATCGCTGGTGGTAACTCAAAAGCATTGTTACATCAAGGTAGGCGACCCTGAGTTGAAGATCAAGCGAAAGTTAGGAGCAGTACTCGTAACATTAGCCACGAAACATGGCCGTGCGCATGTAACCAACCGACATTCTGTCATTTCGTCTCTCATCTCGTGTCGACGTCCAAAACCAACCTTATTTCTGGCTCGCGAGAGCACAATAGCCAATACCAGGGTCTATGGAGATGACGATACCGGGGTATTATCATCTGATGAGAATACCGGCAGGTGCTGGCAATACGAGGACAAACAAGAGCGCCAGCGTAGCATGATGAGACAGTCGACGTCACTGCATAAAATGAAGACCCAAGAGGAGGCGAGAGAAGGACAGAGAAAGACGGAGAGAGCGCAGAATCAGCTCTGCGATCGACAGGAGCCATTGCCGCCAAGCAGTGAAATGAAATCACCAGCTTGGACGGACAAGACGGACAACGGAGTATCACAGCGCCAATGCAGCCACTGGGTCTATCGGCGGATAAAGGCAGGTCAGCCAACGCGCCGACGCGATGATCTATGGAGAAAGAGTTTAATTGAAGGAAACGCAGGGGAGAGCACGCGGACAAATTTACAAATTTACAGCAGCAAGGTACATTGCGCTTGTACTGCTGGTGGTGCAACGTTCAATGTTCTGCCTCTCCTCTCCGCTCACCGCCATCAGCTGCCGTGCAACTTTCTCCATCGCCACGATAGTCATGTTCCCTGTCCGCACTCCAGAAAATGGAGCAGTGCCGGTTCCCAATCCAGCTAAACAACGCTGGAGCTTCTAACCACCATCTTTGAACAGGGAGGAGCCAAGTCTTATTAGCACCCAGTAGCCTCGGGCTAATCATGGGCAGAGGTCGCATCCCCTTCACTCGGCCGCAGCGAAATGCCGCCGATTCACCTTCTCAGAGCAGCTTGGGCGCCCGAATAGCTTTGGTTGTGCCTGTCCGCGGCTAATTTGCGTTGCTCCCCCATCTTTTGGACTGGCCGACGAGACGCCTTTTTCCTCTGGCGACTCCACAGAATGCGGGCGGGCGCAAAGCAAGATTGGTTCGTGGCAAGCCACAGAGGACACAAATCTCCAAGAGATGGGCGGATGAAGAACGGTTCCTGCATTAGCGCACACACGGCGGGTTTTCTACTGTATCTTCAAGTGTGCTTGTCATCGTGTTTGCTTACGATGCCAAATATGGCCACGCAGGAGCGAGACTACCGCCGTATTTGCGGAGTAACAGACGGACTACAATATCGCTGTGACATCCATATTATGGATACGGATACTCGCTTCTGCTTCCAATGCCAGCTGTGATATTTACTAGACCTGTCGGGGGAATAGGATGAGGCAAGCAAGCAAGCAGCATTGCCAGCATCGGCACGGCAAACTCCGCGCTGCTAGGACGAATGTCACCGCTTCTTTATTTTGTCCCATGCGACACTGCTTTTCGAGAAGCAGATTCCCAAAGTGCTAGCATAAGGACTGATATGGAGCAGGACTATTACTCGGTTGATGCTAGTCGCGCTGTCTGACGACTCCACCCAGTCAGCAAAGAGACCTGGCATGCCTTGCTAGTAGCACAAGCAATATGGAGCTTCGCTGTTGTTGCTAGTATGAGGCAAATGTAGAGCTCTCTCTGCCCAGGCTCGTCTAGCAGTCCTGTAACGTGCCAAATGGCTTGGGTTTATACGGTGCACGTGGGGAGCTACTCCCTCCTTGTTGCTGTTCTGGATTCTGCTACGACAAGGGCAAATGTCCCCCTGGCATACGATGGTACCTGAATTTTCGTTTGTTTGGAAAGATCTGGAATTGTGCCAAGATATGACTACAAGAAAGCAAACACGAATGGCCGATATGCTAATACCGTTCTGAGGAGAATCAAGATTTACCGATTCCCAACCGCTGGATCTAGGTGCAAACGAACATGTCCATGGAGCAATTGGTCAACGAACCCGAATCAGACGACACTACAGAGTACTGTTGCCCGAATGAAATAAGTCGCCACTAGTATTAGTGAGGGAGCCCGGGCTGCAGACGGCGTCTGGAAAATCCCCTGCTGCGAAGACATATCCAATAGAGGAAGGTTGGATGGACTCGGCAGCTAGATACAGTACCTGGAGTATCATCCCCGGCGACGCTGAATGACAGCAAATGCTACTTCGCAGGAGGTCGGCATCTGAGCACAGATGCAACATCAACTATAGGATGTTACTCGGCACTACTCCGTACTCACTTTATTGTGATAGGATGAGCTGCTACGGCTGGCTTCAGGATGCTTCGATTGCTCAATAACAGAGGGACAGGCCAACTTCGCCAATCTCGCCAACCTCATGCAAGTGGCAGCCTTCTGTCGCCCCCCCTCCCTCCCTCCTTGCGTATTCCGCTGGGTTTGCCGTAGCCTGGACAACACTGTCATCAAACGCTTTCCTCTCGGAGCCCACAAAATAGATCAACTTGAGACTGGATTCTGAAAACAATGGTGCAGAGGCCCGCCTCCCGAGTCCGATCGGTCAAGATCCTCAGCCGTGTCACTTTGGAACATCGTTAGAACGTGATGCCTGTGCAAGGCAGCACAATACGAGCTTGGACTATTGAGTTCCAGAGATTAAAGTGCAAGCATAATCACACTTGTAACCAGCGGAACGATGAAGCCGGCGACTAGCACAACGTCGACGAGGTACTTGTTCGCGTACTCCGTCCTCTCTTCTCCGTAGAGGGTATTGCTGCCGAAGAAGCTCCAGTCATTAACGAAGGCCAATTTAGAAGGTTGAAATGAGAGCATGTATGTCTTGGTTGAACCGTTATTATCAAGGACGGTGAGCATTTTACAGGTCTAGAAGGCCGGCGGTAATTGACCACCCGTCTCTAGGTGCTGTACAGTACTCGTATGCCGCTGCCACCACAAGTACTATTTCCTTGCTCATAGACAGATGTTATGAGTGATAGTGAGCGCCGAGCGAGAGACCGACCTCCGTCTCATGGACGGGCGCCATTGCTTTGGTCGTTAATGCCCAATTGCTCACAGCGATTTGCGCATCAATTACCTCGTACGGAGAGCTCGCACAAAGTGGCCAAGACAGACGCAGGGGTCCTGGCCAATGGGGAGGTGATCTGTTGCCGCTGCAGGAGCACAAACACACAACCCGCATGCTGATGTGGTTGCTCATTCGCGCGATGGCCCTGGCCGTTTGCCACACAGTATGGAGCGATGTTGTACCTGCAGAAATCAGAGACAGGGGTTGGCTGGTCTCAAGCCCGGGATGGTTCGTGGGTCTTCCATCTTGGCTCTTCTGAGAGGCGGATGAAACTGGCGCGACAAGCATCTCCACCACGACATCCACTTGTGAACCCCCTAGATTGGCATCCGTTCTGGACGCAATTTCCCGGGGTATCCAATGGGTGGCAGTCGAGGTGAGGTTGTTCTTTGGTCGATATGCCTATTAATATGAGGCCATGCTCGGTCGAGGAGCTTCTTCTTTTTTCCTCTCTTTCCTCCTCAGCCCACCAAGCACAATCGCCAGCTCGCTCTGACTTCGGTCGTCCATTCTTTCAAACAAACCAACCAGCAAACAAAGCTTTACGCTTTCTCACACTCTTTCTTCAACCAACAAAACTACTTCGTTCTTCTAGAACCACCAAAAAAACAAGACATTCAAGATGCGTTTCACCGTCGCCGCTGCTGTCCTGGCCACCTCGGTCCTCGCCCAGGAGCCCGTCTCCACCGACTACACCACCGAGTTGGTCACCATCACTGCCTGCCCTGAGACCGTCACCAACTGCCCGGCCCGCCAGCAGACTACCTCCGTGGCCACCAACTACATCCCCCTGACCACCTCTACCGTCTACGCCACCTCCATCCACACCATCACCTCGTGTGGCCCTGAGGTTACCAACTGCCCGGCTCACAGCACTGTCCTGTCCACCGAGACCGTTGCTGTTTCCACCACCATCTGCCCGGTCACCGCCACTGCCACCCCTACTGTTGTCCCTACCTCCCAGGTCTGGTCCAACAGCACCGGTGTTGTCTACCCTACCGGCCCCGCTGGTGGTGAGAGCTCTGCTCCCGTCTCCGTCCCCGTCTACAGCATTCCTGCCGTCTCTTCTCCCGTCTACAGCGCCCCCGCTGGATCTTCTCCCGCTGTCACCAGCGGCTATGCTGCTCCTACCGGCGGTGCCCCCGGCGCCCCCATCAGCTCTGCTGCTCCTGTCTGCCCCAGCAGCTCCGTCATTGCTGTGACCAAGAGCTACACCACCGTCCTCACCTCTGTTGAGTACCAGACCGTCGCCGTCCCCTGCCCTACCGCCCCTGCTGGCGGTAACGGTGCTCCCTCCGGCACCGGTGCTGTTCCTCCTCAGCCCACCGGCCCTGCTGGCAACGGAACGTAAGTTTATATACACATCCTTTTCGATATTGATATTTGAACCTGATATACTAACACTGAATCCAGCACTGGTGTTCCCCCTCCCGTCAACGGCGCTGCCTCTTTCGCTGGCTCTGCCGTCTTCGCCGCCGTTGCCGGTGTCGCTGCCCTGATCCTCGCTTAAACGTTTCCTTTAAGTCATTTTTGAATTAAAGGCCTGCGGGACATGGCAAACACACACGACAGGCGCCCCTGAGATCTGGTTGGACATGTACAGAAGTTGAACTAGAACTTTTCTTCAATAATACTAGAGTTTTACGGCAATCGGGATTATACCCCTTGGAGTGTGTATACTTAATATTCTAATTGTACGGGCGTTCGCGGGGACGATTCCCGTCAGACAACCAACTGCGGGCCCTGTCCTGGATGTCTTTTTTGAACGAAGCATTTTTTGGTCACGAACTGAGATATCAAACTTTTTAACGACTTGTGCTTTTCTTAGCCTTTTCTCAAAGATTACATTTTTTACCTTTTTACACTACCGTGTCCGATTTCCATTTTGCCGTGATGTTCTTGATTCATATAGATCTCGAAAGAGAGGGGGGCCTGCTCTTGACTCTGAAAAGCGTCTTTTTTCCCCCCTGCTCATTAGAGCGTATTCAAATCGGCTCTATGGGGCGGCCCATGTCGATGCTCATTTCGCAAAGCGCCCAACTTGCCTCTGCGGGCATAGCTCGGTGCGAGCGACGGAAATTAGGCCGAAAGAAGGTGACGGCCTCTTCTGATTGGTGGGGGGATCGAGATGAAGTACCACGCGACAATGCTGTGCGGGTTTGACACTTGGAGAGGGAAGAATAGATGAATAGCTGGCTGATCTGTGCGTAACACGCCAATGGAAGAGGAGGGGGGCGTACGGAGTATTATTGTGGTAGTTTGGTATTGGGCATTGAATTGTATGGGATTCTGTTGGATTACATCAGACGGAGGATCCGAGATGGATGGGAGGGAGGACTGTGCTTTATGTGAATAGATCTGAGGCTTTTTGGTCGAGGTTTGGGCTGGGATTGCATTGATTTGATGTGGATTTGAAGATGTTGGGTTGCTGGTGGTGTTTGTGCGTTTTGCGTGGAATAACATTGTGGCTTATTATGGCTTTCACAGATGTTGGTATCTGGTGGTCAGTGAAATAGGAGAGCCATCATGCATTACAGTGGAAGAGAATATGTGTGACCATGGAATGGAGGTGGTTGGGCAAGTATTTCATGTACTGTGCAACTGTGAGACATGGAAACACAATGCAGTGGCACAAAGTTAAGCATCAATCGATGCGAAACAACGGCCTCATACCGCCACGTGGAATACCACAATGGTACAAAGACCAATAAATGGTTGGCGTTGTTGGTTTCGAGATTGGCAACGAGATTCTGTGTCGGGCAGGATGAGATGGAATGTGGCTCGCTGAGTCGTATCGGCCGTATAAGACATGTGCATCTTTCTTTTCAACTGTGAGAGCGGGCTATTTTGAGGAGAGAGGTCGATGGCAGCGGAGCGTTAGTTGCCTTGGGTACTCCGTACATTTTGATATCCTAATGTGGACTCTCTTTTCTTTCTCTTCATCTGGTGACTCTCAGGTTATACTCCAGATCGTGAAGATATCTGCGAGAGCTGATGTCGTAAATCTAGCATCGAGGGACTCTAACAGCGGCAGATGGGATGCGAGATGTTTCCACTGTGAGAGAGAGCAATTTAGAGACTAATTAATATATTGAGAAGATGTGGATGAAGTACTTCTGTTGTCAATTTGTGCTCGCAGTTGATCGGTGTCGTGATATCGTTGAGTGTTGGTATATGGTCCCTGCGATGCGGTCAGTGCTTGGCACATCCCAAAACTTACATCCACCTGTCTCACATAATGAGGTATTGGCGTTATTGGTGCTATTATAGAACCAAAGGACAAATTACTATATCTGGTAAAAGAAGAGATTGGGGCAGTAGACCTCGTATAGAGCCCATTATTCATCAAGACTTGCGAATCGCGGTGTATGAAACGGAGGTGGGATGAGAACCAGCTACCGAATGCCGTTTGCTAGATGAACGAGCGGGACCGTGACTCGTATTGATACGGGCCAGTAAGTAAGGAGCAGTTTGGCGTATCGTGCTAGTCAAGAGGTTACGTGTATTTGCCGTATGTACGGAGTACGGAGTAAAGCGATGAACTGAAAACCACGTGCTGAGATGGGGAGAGTCCTGCTCGAGTGCGTGGTGGTTGAGGAGCCAAGACTTTTTTCTCCCCTCTGGATCGAGCTAGTTTTCTCTTGTGGCTGTGTTGTAGGGCATGGCGTGGGATGCGTGATGTGACGAAAGTGCATACGTAACGGTGTCGAGACTTGGTGTTTGTTGGCAGACTAAGGATTGTGATGCCAGTATAAGCCGCCTTGATGCGAAAACTAGTGTGATTTTTTCTTTTGGCGTGGTTCCGTGATGGAGATATCCAAGATAGTTTGTCTCGTCTCGTTTCTTTGATGGTTTTGTAATAATGGTAGTAGGTATTGCGAGATGGAGAAGAGATGGAGAAGCGCTGACAGCACTTGGCCGGATTTTCACTGGTGGATGACTCGAATCGAACTCCGTACTCCGTATTCCTCGCTTGAAAACAACGAGAGAAGAAAAAAAATAAAAAATAGATAGATTAAAAACAATCAGAAATCAAGCAAAGCTGATGAAATGAACGAGTCGGTGGCTTTGAACACGTCAACCAGCTCCCCCGCTGCGGTGCTTGTTGGAGCCTATCAGCATCGCGAAACGCAGCTTGGCTACGGAAGAAGGATCTGAAGCCATCTCGCACTCGCTTAATATGCTCTTCTAGGCGTGAGGCTTGACGGTTTTAAATTCGTTCAATCGCCCGCCGGTTGGCAGAGGCGCCACAAATGACCCGCTTCGTGCTGACGGCAGTGCAAGTGACCGCGTCAGTTCCGATCCTCCGCCCGAATCCCTATTTTCCCTATTTTTCGATGGAATCTTCTTCTCTCCTGCTTGCTCGCACTCGTTTAGCCCAAGATGACAGGGGCAAGCATTTCCTTATAAGGGCAAAAAGGGCAAAAAGTGGCTGATGATTAAAGTTGGCGATGCAAACATCAGCCCACCATGCCATCCTCGGTGCCGAGCGAGAGCGAGCAGCACGTTTCAATCCCGTTACGAGGCTTATCGCTGCCATGCCATTGCACCATTAGACCAGTAATAATACCAACTTGGGAGTTTTTTGCGATGCGGCTAGCTGAGCTGAGCCACGATGGCAGCTCCTCCTCGCATGCTGTGACGCTGGCCGCGGCCCTGCGCATCATCGGTGTCGAGTCCCTCTTCTCAGCATCTGCGTCGAACGATGGCAGTGGCGCCACCTCCAGCATTGATCCTTGTGATTTAACTCGTCTCCCTGGTTTTGTTTGGGCGTTTTGATAAGGTTATTCCGGGATGACGCTGCGTCGTGGCCACGAATGCTTGGAGGCTTAAGGCTGGCTTTCGTTTTGGGCTTTGTTGGCCATGTGGAGATTGCCGAAGGAGTGCCTGGAACGAGAGCGAGGAGAGACGGGGCAATGTATTGTCCAACGGAGCCGCGCGTGGATCTGGGCCGGAAAACTTGGCATTTTTTGTTGACGATGATAAAGGGACCCCGTTTCCCCTTTGTGCTGGAAATTATTCAGAACACATCAAGGGCTCTTCTGCATTTACAAAAAGAGACACATCCTCCTATTTATATATTTATATATCTATACCCCAAGCAAGTCAACAAGCCCCAACAAGAGCAAAGCAACCACTTCGATCAACGGACCTATCAGAGACACGGAGCTCTATCAAATCGGACAATCACTAACCAAACATCACACCACCATCGCCATGTCTGGAGGCCCGCCCCCTGGAACCATCACCTTCGGAAGCGACACAACTTGTAGCTTGGACACCTGCCCCGCGGCGTGGAGCATTCTCGGCTATCGTCCCTCGCTCGCCGCAAACATTGTCTTTGCCGTTCTCTTTGGCATAGCCGGAATCGCTCACCTCTATCTCGGTATCCGATGGAGATCGTGGAGTTTCACCATTCCCGTCATCATCGGCTGCGTCACCGAGATTATTGGATATGTCGGCAGGATAATGCTGTGGAATAATCCCTTTTCCTTTAACGGCTTCATGATCCAGATTGGTAAGACAAGATGCCCATTCGAGAGTCTTCCCTATTCCCCCTTTACCTAGGCTAACTGTTGGATTTCAGTCACCCTCACTGTTGCCCCCGTCTTCTACACGGCTTCCATCTACGTGACCCTGTCCAAGTCCATCATGTTTCTCGGCCCGGACCTCTCTCGCTTCAAGCCTCAGCTGTTTTACTACATCTTCATCCCTTTTGATATTGTCTGCCTCGCCCTCCAGGCTGCAGGCGGTGCCATGTCGGCAAACACCACTGGCTCCAACCAAGTCGGCGTCGATGTGTCCCAGGCAGGTCTCAGCCTCCAGGTCATCGTCCTGACCGCCTTCATCGTCACCTTTGCAGACTACATGGTCCGCTACTTTCGGTCTGGCCGCGCCTCTGCATGGGGCTGGCGCCTCACCACTTTCTTCGCCGGCTTGACAACCGCGACGTTGCTCATCCTGGCCCGTTGCTGCTACCGTGTGGCGGAACTGAAGGACGGATATAGCAAAGGCCTCATCAAGGATCAGACAACGTTCATCATCCTGGAAGGCTCCATTGTCTTCTTGGCGGCCGTTGCACTTTGCTTCGGACAGCCGGGACTGGGACTGAAGCGAGAAAGCATTGACGAGCAGAAGTGGGAGATGGATACCTCATTCACTTCATTACGCACGACCGATCAGCGCAAGGAGAGTCAGGCGCCGATCGTTTAGAGATTTGTATGGTTGTGGTGATGGAATTGGAGTTGTGGTTGGATCTGCAGCTGGAGTTAAATATGGAATTTGGACTAGGATCGTTAGATGCATTTTGTTTTTTCATTTGTTCGTTTGTTTTCTAGACTGCTTTTTTTGGTAGAGGGGTCTTGATAGATGGATGATCTACTTGCACAAAAGGGATAGGAAGCGTGGGTTTGTCTTTTTGGTAGCTGCTTTGATTTTTTTTTATTTTTATTAAGAGGGGAATGTAGACAACTACTGTTTAATGCTTATCAATATCTGGATCAACCATCTATATCCATTACCGCTTTCTTATTTGTTCCTTTCCCATGAGTTGTTGAATACAACATTCATCCAGTGTCTTATCCGCTCCCCTTATCGCGGGTCTCAACGGCCCTCCTCGGCCCCGCTCTGCCGCCTCCAGTGTGCCGCTTCCGGGAACTTTTGGACCTCGAGCTTCCAATTTTGCCCAACGCCCGCCTGAGCCCCTCTGGAACCCCTCCATCCCATCCCAGTAGAACGAAACTTCTCCGCACTCTTTGAGATTTCCCTCCCATTTTTGCTTATCACAAATCTGCATGATCTGCTCTTCGACAGCGAGACGGTCGAGGACAGCAATCCAGTCTTTGGCATTTACCAGCCCAACCACTGCTAGAAGAAGAACCAGAACATCACCGTTTTCGACCACCGCCTTCATCATGGCTCCTCCTCAGGCTGCGCTCGACTTTGTCGACTTTGTCAACTCTTCTCCCACTCGTATGCATTTTCCAGCTCCCTCGTCATCTCCTGCTGAAATCCCAAGATTCAAAATACAACGTTTTCCATCCAGACTAACAAACAAATTTGTCCAGCCTACCACGCCGTCAAATCTGCTTCTGCCCTCTTCGAAAAGGCCGGCTTCACCCTCATCCGCGAGCGCGACTCTTGGGCATCGGCCCTCCGCCCCGGCGGCAAATACTACCTCACCCGCAACGGCTCGTCCATCGTGGCCTTTGCCATTGGCCGCAAATGGCGCCCTGGCAACCCCGTCGCCATTGTCGGCGCCCACACCGACTCGCCCTGCCTGCGCGTCAAGCCCGTCTCCAAGAAGAGCAACGTCGGGTACCTGCAGGTCGGCGTCGAGACGTACGGCGGCGGCATCTGGCACTCGTGGTTCGACCGCGACCTGAGTCTCGCTGGTCGTGTGATGGTGCGCGAGGGCGAGAATGTCGTCCAGAAGCTGGTCAAGGTGGACAAGCCGTTGTTGCGTATTCCCACGCTCGCCATCCACTTGCACCGACAGGCAAACTTTGAGCCCAACAACGAGATTGAGCTGTTCCCCATTGCGGGCCTTGCTGCTGCCGAGCTGAACAAGAGCAAGCCCGAGGAGCCCAAGGGCGATGACGCCATGGAGGAGGACGAGGACTTTAAGCCGCTGGAGAAGATGACGGTGCGCCACCACCCGGCCGTTCTCGATGTCGTTGCCAACGAGGCCGGCGTCGACGTGGCCTCCATTGTCGACTTTGAGCTGGTGCTCTACGACACGCAAAAGTCCGTCATCGGCGGCATCAACGACGAGTTCGTCTTCTCGCCCCGCCTCGACAACCTGGGCATGACCTACTGCTCCGTCGAGGGCCTCATCTCCTCCGTCAGCGCCCCCGACGCCCTCGACGCCGACTCGACCATCCGCCTGACCGTCTGCTTCGACCACGAGGAGATTGGCTCCCAGTCTGCCCAGGGAGCCCACTCCAACCTGCTGCCGTCCGTCCTGCGACGCCTGTCCGTCCTGCCCGGCAACCGTGACGCCGCCAGCGACGGCAGCTACGAGCACGTCCACCACGAGGGCGAAGAGGCCACGGCCTACGAGCAGACGCTCTCCCGCTCGTTCCTCGTGTCCGCCGACATGGCGCACGCCGTCCACCCCAACTACGCCGGCAAGTACGAGTCGTCCCACCAGCCCGCCATCAACGGCGGCACCGTCATCAAGATCAACGCCAACCAGCGATACGCCACAAACTCGCCCGGCATCGTCATGCTCCAGGAGTGCGCCCGCAAGGCCGGCGTCCCGCTGCAGCTCTTCGTCGTCCGCAACGATTCCCCCTGCGGCAGCACCATTGGACCTGGCCTGGCTGCCAAGCTGGGCATGCGCACACTCGACTTGGGTAACCCTCAGCTCAGCATGCACAGCATCCGTGAGACGGGTGGCACGGCGGACGTCGGAAACGCCATCAAGCTGTTTGCCAAGTTCTTTGGTAGCTACGGCGAGATTGAGCCCAAGATCCTAGTTGATTAAATGGGGGTTGGGTCAGGTTGTGTAGATTTTTTAAGTTGGCAGAAAGCATACATACTTTATATAAGCTGCGTATAACGCAACGCAAAGCAAAGCATTCATGTAGTGGGCAGTTGATAGTTTCAGGCGTTGACGGGAAGGACTTGGACGGGAAACACGAAACAATGACTGAAAATTATCTCCAAGAGAATCATATTCTAAAATGGTGAACTATGAATGAATGTGCGCCCTTGTGTAGACATTGGATAAACAAAGGGATTCAAAAAAAAAAAAAAAAAAGTGTCGAAAAGCCGCTTTATCTACCTAAACAGATATAGTCATTGTACTACTTCTATTCATTGTTCGCTGCGTGCAAACTCTCCCGTCTTTGCTGCCATGACATCGTCATCATCATCATTCAAAGAGTTGTGTGTCTAGCTATTATAACAATACAGTATTCATGACATCAAAATTGGATCCCGAAATACTTCATTTCCTTGTTCCCGAGATTGGAAAAAAACAAAAACAAAAACAAAAGACAGATATAGTTAACAGAACCACCCCGCTGTCTCATAGTCTATCCACGTCCTCTGTACAAGTGCTCCTTAATGACGATACCGGCGCCGGTGCTGGACTTGACATGAAGACTCTAGAAGGAGAATCTACATCACTAATGGCAAGTAAAATAGCCTTGTCTCGTTCATTCCCAGCTTCCTGCCCTTCGGCGTGATCAGGCGTATTGCCTCTTGTTTCCACCACGACGCTCTCCTGAGAAGCAGGCACGGTCACTGCATCTGACCTAACCGATAGCACTGATGATTCCTGCGATAACGCGGGTACATGAGGGATCGAGTCCACGCTTCGAACCCTAGTGTGTGTATTCGTCCGTGCCGCGTGGGCAAACGTATTCGCTCGTCTGCGCGTCGCGGTCGATGGCGGGAGAGGCTTGCGCTGGAGTTCGGAGAGAGGGACGGAGGTTTGGCCGGTGCGTAGCTTGTACCCCGCGAGGCCGAGGCGTAGACGGAGGATTTCTGCTTTCTGCATGGTTTTGTTAATTGACATTCTTACTATACGAAGAGCTATGAGGGAGGACGTGGAGAGGAAGATGTTTACCTCTCTGGCTTGTTCCCTGGTCAGAGCTCGAGGCCTTGTGGCAGCTAGCAAGGTTGTTGCCGCTGCTGCATCTGGCTCTGTTGCCGTCGTCCAGGAAGCATCTCCGGCCGAGCTATCAAACAGGGAACTTGTCTCAAGACTGGGTGACCTCGATCGCGTAGCCTATACATATTTCTCCGTGAGCAACAGTGTCAAGCCAACCGCGCGGATCAGCTGTCTTGTTATTGTTGTTTCTGCTATTGCGTGGAACAGCATGGCCAAAGGACCGCGAGTACGCAAGAAACATCAAGACAAAGTAAACAAAAGGAAAGCCTGCTCACCCCATCAACACACGCCTTCTTCGGCACGGGACTCTCATCCACCACTTCCTCGTCTTCTTGCCCCGCAGTCCGCTTCTTTCCCTTTGACGACTCGCTCCCAATCAATGGGCTGCTCACTAACAGAGCCGACGGCGTCAGCAGCATTGACGATCCCATCATGATCATTTTGCTTGCGATTGGTGTTGTTGACAAGGCCGCGTTCGCGTCCAGAGAGCCGAGCACGGCGCGTCGTTTCATGGGCGACGAGACAGCTTCCATTGTGTTTCCAAGGAGCTCAAAGTCTAGTGAAGAAGGAATATCTCTGAATAAACAAAACCAGAGCGCGGCAAGAGAGAAAGATACGTCGCGCCCACTGGTGGGGTGTTGTGTTAGCGGCAGCGCAAGATCGCGTGTGCGGGTATGCGCAGAGAAATCGATAAGCAAGGCACCAGTATCTATAACAATTGATACGGTTTGTATATGATTGTCCTACTGGAGAAGTAGCAGACAATGCAATTGGCGTGTCTAAAGTACCAAGACCTCGCGAAAGCCCGTTGATTGCCGAGCACTCAAGTATGCAGGTATTGTGCTGTTTTGGAGATGGCACGAGACAACAGACCAAAGCGCTCAATGGAGATGGTAATAGCTCGCAAATCACGACACAATCGACGAGGAAAAAAGAAAAACGCGACACAGACGACGAGGATACTGCCAAAGCACGCTAAAAGAAAGAAAGAAGATGGTGATGAAAATAAAAAAGTAAATAAACCCCAGAAGCTCAACCATCCATGTCCCCCTCCAGCTCGGCTTAGAGCGAAACCAACCTCGTTCCTCACGCGGCTTGTCCAGGCGCGACCGCACCCCCGAACGCCCCACCTTCCCTGCCCGCCGCGAAAGCACAGGAACGGAGAGGGAACGGGATTATAATATTGTCCTTTTTTTCTTTCTTTTCTTTCTTGCTTATTCTCTCCTCTCCCAGACTTACAACTGTGCACAGTAGCTACTCTATAAAGACGCTTTAGAAAAAAAAAAAAAAAAAAAANACTAGGATTAGATACAGCTACATATCATGTCATGTCATTGTAGGGGCTGATATGGTATTGATCCATTGGAGAAAAAAAAAAAAAAAAAAAAAAAAACTTACATTGAGCTTTTGCCATGGCAAAATTCTGCACATGGCGGATTTAAAAAAAAAAAAAAAAAAAAAAGCTTCCATAGCAACTACAGTACCTACTTAGTACTATCCTCCCCCTGTCCATACCACATCAAGTCTAGCCCCCCCTCCCACCTCGCCGCGTCCTTCCTTCCCGTCAAAACGGAACCGTGTCGTCGGGATGGCTGCTCCCCCTCCATCCCCCATCAAGCCTAGCGCCACCAACCTCGAAAAAGCCACGAGAAAAAAAAAAACCGGGCAAGTTAAGCAGTGGGGGGGAAAACGGACAAGTTAAGGCAGTGGGGAAAAAAGCAGAAGCTTCTTTGACAGTCTCGGGCGCTAAAGTGGGAAAAAAACCAGACACACCAACACACCTAACCTAAGCATGCAGACTCCATTGATCTGATCTGATCATTCCCCTCCCCTCATCGGCCATCGGATCCGGTCACATGCAAAAACACCAAAGACTTTGCTATCCTTACGTAACCAAGGCCATAACTCTAGCTCTCGATAAGTTCTGAGTGTACAACAGAACAACATTTGAAAAGACGTCAGCTCTGACGATTGAACTTGAACTGAATCAATGGCGTTTTCCTCAATTCCCTTCCTGAGAATGTCATGAAAACGGACCAGTCAGTCCATCCTACATCAACATCATTGCAAGACATGCACAATAGAGGAGCAAAAGACACAAATCTCGTAGAATTCTCACTTGTTCCGAATTAGACTCATATTCGTCATGTAAATCGCTATATTATCCACCGGTCCTCGCAAATCCCTCCCCCGCATCGTCACGTTAATAAAAATAAGCAACAACTTGAAAAGAAAACGGCTGTGGCAAAAGAAAGAGAAAATGGCCTCTAAAGCCACGCGTATTTCCGCTCAAAAGCATCCGTTGCCTCCTTGTCCCAACGCCAGTCGCGCCCCAGATGTTTTTCTTGATTTTTTTCTTTTTTTCCTTTTCAGAACTGTGAACCCCCCTTCTTCGCCTGTTGTCCAATAAACAAACCACTGCGATATCAGTCATATCATAACGCTGGGTATATATCCTGGGTCCTGGGCTCCAAAGAAACAAAAACCGAGATAGAGAGACGTAAAATGGAACAAGTGGACAAAACGAGAAGAAAAAAAAAACTGGTATATATAAAAGATCCTTTTGACTCTTTGCTTTTCCCGCAACGGTATACGTATGATTATTCTCCAAGTTCAAATCGCTTTCGCTAAGGGGAGGGACAAAAATAGATAAAAACAAAAGACAATAAACTGTTTGCTTTCAACAATCCATCGAGTAGTGGCTCAGATCAAACTCAAACGGCTTTGTAAAGTCCGTTTGCATAGAATCCCAATCTGGAACGCCCGGTCGTCTATTCAATAGAACTGGTTTGAGTAAGGCCAGGGCTTCGTCAGGCAGACTTCCGTCATAATTGGCAGCGTGAAAGTCGGCCATGTGATCTTGATCTAGGCTGTGCCAAAACATTGAAATGTCAAGGGCAGCACCTTCGGAAATATCACTGTTGGGCTCGCTCGCAACGTCCTTGCCTGAGTCTGGCGTACCCTTTGGTGTGAGCAACTTGAGTATCTTGGCATCATGGCTAGCGGCCGGTAGTCCATGTTCGAAACCCAAATTCTGGAGCAACGTCTGAGGGTCAATGGTCGAGCTGGCCCACGGATCTACTTTCGCAACGTCACTGGCCTGCTTGCCGTCACCCGGCTTCGCGCCTGAATCCGACTTGACACCAGCCTTGGCATCTTTGCTCATTGAGCTGACCGACCTCTTCATGCCTGTGCCATCCTGCGACATGGGTGTGCCGGCAATGTTTCCGGAACCTTGGCCCTGCTTTGATGTGGATGCGCTCATAGCTTGGGCGCCATCCACAGCCTTCTGCTCCTTTTTGACGCTGCCGTCAATTTCCAAGCCCAATGCCAACGCGAGGTTCTCTTGCAAGAATTTGACCGGGTCCTCCTTGGGCTTGGTATGCTCTTCCTCGATGTGGTTCTGGAGTGCTTGCTCGCTATGGAAGCCAACGTACGACATGTCGCAGTCGGGCTCAGTGCAGAGGATTACGGGCTTTGGAGTGCCTTGAGGGCGGCGCATATCGGGAGAGACATTCTTTGCAATCTGTGGCGAGGGGGTGGCTCCCTGAGACGATTGACCAGACTGTTGCCCACTGGCAATCTTTTGCTTCTTGCGAGCGGGCGGTAGCTGCAGGTTGAGGTCCTTCGGCTTGCTCATATAGCTTGGGTTACCATGAGGCGAAGTTGCTCCGAATGGGAAAGGCGGTTGGGTTGTCGTCGGTGCAGGAGGGGGCTGGCCGGCTTTGTTGGCCTGTTTCTGCTGATTCAACTTGTTCAATGCCTGCGCATTCTTCTCTAGGTTGGCAGCGTTCAACGGAGCGGGGTGTGCTTGCTGGTTCTTTTGCTGTGTCTGCTGTTGAGCTTGTTGAGCTTGTTGCTGAGCCTGCTGTTGGGCCTGCTGCTGAGCCTGCTGTTGCTGCTGCTGTTGTAGAGATAATTGCTTCATTTGTTGGCCCTGCTGCTGACCTGGCGCCTGCGCACCAGGCTTCATCATATGCCGGCCTATTACACTGGCTGCCAAGTCCTTGGCCATACTCTCGAGCATAGCGCGAGCTTGGTCCAGATCGGAGGAGCGGATACTGAAAACATCCTTCATTGCCTCCATCTGTTCGCCATCGACGTGTTGCTTAATGATACGCAGTCGCTATGATCCAAAGTTAGCATTAATCCTGGTAAACAACACTCCTAGCAATCAACTTACAGTTCTAAAGAACATCTTGGCACGTGCATCATCTTGTGTGATGGCGTACCATTTGCTCAGTCCACGTCCAACCTTGCTCATGTCCGAGACGATACGCTTCAGCTTCTGCGCAGTTTCTGCATATTCTTCGGGGCCCATTGGAATATCCACCATCTGTTCTTGGCTAAATTGTCTCTGCTCTTCTTGCCCAATAAGCTTGAGGCGGTTGAGGGAATCGCCAGCAGCTCCTGTGTTCGCGGCCGGCACCTTGCCGTGATTCTTCAGGATCTGTTCATATCTGGCTCTCTGTTCAGGAGTCAAGGATGCTTCCTGCTGAGGCGTAAGCGGCGTAAAGTTGTTGAACTTGCCTGGTCCCATCCTCTGGATTGTCTGCTGGGCCGGCTGTGGCGGTACCGCCGCCGGTCGTGCGGCGGGCGTGGGAGCTTTCGCGCTGGCAGTATCAGCACTGTCGTCTGGGTTAGGGCGCTTGAGGTTTTTCGGGGGCTGGGATTGGTTGTTGCGCGTCTGGTTCTGGTTTGCGTTTGGCTGCTGCTTCTGGTTGTTCGCTTGCATCGAGGCAGTCTGGCTCATGGCATTTGGCATCGTCTGCGCCTGAGTTTGGGGAGTGAGATTGGGTTGGGGCTGCTGCTGAAGCATCATGGGACCTTGAACCCCAGGCATGTGGTTGGATGTAGGTTGTTGCTGGTTAGCCTGCTGAAGTTGCGCTGCCTGAACCTGCTGGACTCTCAACGACTGTTGTTGCTGATTCCAGCTAGTCCTCTTCATCTGGAGAATCATATTCCGGAGTTGATCGTCGGGGACGTTGACCAACCCAGGCTTCTGACTCCGAATATGCATCATCTCCTGAGCTGATACCTGAAGCAGGTGTGGGGGTATATTGCCTGGCATCGGTCGCTGCATGTTTGCTTGCTGGTTAGCGGCCATTTGCATGGGCATATTTGGATTCATGTTGAGAGCCTGTCCCGGTTGCTGAGGTAGATTGCCAGCCCGCCTCTGCATAAGGACCTGGAATTGCTTCTGCTGAAGAGCCAGCAGCTGATTGCGGACATGTGGTTGAACGTTGCTGTTGTTTTGGGTGATCCATGCCTTCAAATCTCTCCATTTCTTAACCTCTACGGGCAAGCCGGTGATTTGGTTAATGATATTGGGAGGCAAATCCATCGAATCCATCAGGAGCGCAAGCTGAGGGCCTTGAGGCGGTCCCATACGTCCCATCTGCATTGCCTGTTGCTGGTTGCCTACACCAATACCATTCCCTTGAGGCATGGCCTGAGGACCGGGGCCGACGTTGGCCCCCATTGGACCAAACTGGTTCGGAGGACGATTGGCCATCTGTTGCTGCATCATCGGGTTGCCACCATTCATCGCCTGCATCTGCTCCTGGCGCTGACTCTGCCACCGCCGCAGAACCTCGGTGAGCTTCTCCTGGGGGAGGCCATTGATGGCTTGCCTTTGTTCTGGGGTCATGTTGGCAAGCATGGCATTGAATGCGGCATTGTTGGGCCTTTGGATCCCTTGGTGAAACCGCTGGTCACCAAATTGGACGCCAGCTTGCGCCATGCCCTGCGGTCCCATGGGGTTGATGCCGCCAGGCCTTGTTACGGGAGTATTCAGCGTGTTCATGCCTGGGCTCTGCGATGTGGCCATGCCTGGCCCTATTTGCTGATTCTGCATCTTCATTTGTGCCTGAGCCTGCAAAGCTTGAGACTGCTGAGCAGCTTGGTTTAGCTTGGCCTGCTGTGGCTGCTGTTGTTGCTGGCCGGCGCGAGGCGTCT